GGCTAGTCTCCCTCAGACTGCACCTGCTGGGGTGGAAGCATGAACTCTCCTAATGAGGTGTCTGTTAGGGAAACCGGTTTGGGGCCAGAAAGTGGGGAGCATGCAGAAGGACGCCACTTTAGCCATGGAATCTCGAGGGGACATGGCTTGGGCCCTGGGGAGAGGCTGTTACGGAGCAGAGAGGACAAAATGTGTCTCCCAGTCTCCAAGACTTTCCAGTATGACTCTTGGTTAGAAAGGGATGAGACTGAGGGAAGGTCAGTCATTTGGGGCTGCGAAGGTCGGCCTGGCACTCCGGTGGATGAGAGAGGGGACAATTTGGACTTTGTACCGGAGCTGGCAGTAGCGGGTACAAGCTTCAGGCAGCATGTAGTCAACCGGGAGGCCTGGGGTGTCCGCAGACATCCTTCCCCAAAAAGCTCCGCTGCAGAGCCCTTTGGCATTTGGGGAGACACAGATGGAGGCACAAGCAGGAGGGTCATGCACCCCCCGAGCTCTGTGGAAGGGAAGCAGTTCTCAGCTACCGAACTGCACTCCAGAGGTCTGGGGAGGGCCAGCGCCTGGGTGACTCCAGGAAGAGGTGCCACAAGTAGGATACTAGCAGTGAGGATGTGCAATATCCATCCTCCGACCACGAGTCTATTGATGAGTTGAATGAGATACAGATGATGAGGGTGACCATTTGCCTCAAAGAAGGAAACCAGGCCAAGTCCAGTGGCCGTACTGAGCTGGAAGACTCAGGCAAACACACAAATGTCCAAGGCAGGGGAAGATTCGTCCATGTGCCCCCCTCTGTACTGTCCAGTGCTACCCGGGGGCTCAGCTCAGGCCTGGAAAAGCCAGTTTCAGGGGAGCCGGAAGACTCTCTGTGTAAGAAAAGGCAAAGTATGGTCTGGAGCAAAGAAGGGAGCAGACCAGGCTCCCCAGGAGCTTCTGCTGCCTCTGTGTCTACTGCTGCAGCCAACTCTGCTGCTGCCCCTGCTCCTGTTGCTTCAGGTGCCTTGCCCAAGACCAGTCCTAAAAAGAAGACAGCTCAGGAGAAGCCACTTCAGTGGAATGCCTCAAGAGGATCCGTGGGAAGAACTTTCCCACCATGGGGACAGAGACTCAAGTCAGCTCCTGTGGAACCAGCCACTTTCCCCCCAATCTCTGGGGTTGCTCTGATAGGGAAGACCAGTAAGTGCTCACTGCCTTCAGGACCCAAAGACTGCAAGCCCTTCTGCACTGGGAAGAGATCCATGGCAAGGAAGACAAAGGAATCCCAGCCAGGGGCCAAAGAAGATGATGACCAAACCAGAAATCCTGGCTTGCAGGCCCAAGTGAGTACAGCAGCCTCTGTCTCCTCTCACCCTGCCTTTCCCTCCCCCAGCACATACCATTGCCCTGTTCCGTCTGTCCCTTCAGAGGGTATGTAGTCAGTCTCAAGGGCCTCCTGATTCCTCCCTCCTAGCTCTTCCCCAAGGAAGCCAGGCCAGGACCTGAGCCTTTCCA